CCTGTCATTAAAGGGAACTTTAGGTTCCGGATTGGACGGCCTCGCTCTGCAGGGGGCCGGAGCTCCGTCTGTTTGCTCCACAGCAGCAGGTCAACCTGTGGTTGCCGGCGGTTACGCTCTATGATTAAAGGAGAAGAAGTCAGAATCTGAAGAAGTCAGAATCCAGGCGCGATCGCTGGGCGGCAAACCAAAATAGATTTATTGAAAAATGGATTCTGGGTTGATCTGAGGAGGACCTGCTTCCTGCAGTGGGAATCTGGGATCCACCCATTCTGGATTCATTTTTACGTCAGTCAAACTGACCACGGATCTCTGCTGCCGATTGCTATAAGCCGATTTTTTAGGCCAATATTTCTCTTTTCCTCCATTTATGTGATAAAATGACAAATAAAGCTTAACGATAAACAGCAGACGGAGGGAGCAGCAATGCATGCGCTGACTGGATATAAAGCCTCGGCTGCCGAACGCTCGGACGGATCTACGAAGGCGTGCAAATATCGACCCCAACGAGGAGAAATGATGCAAACAACGTCCGGACGGCGTTCCGGTCCGTCCCACATAACGGACCCAGACGAGGTTCCTGAACTGGACGCTTCGCTCTGGGAGCCAACCGGAATAAAACTCCTCTGGTTACTCTTCATCTTGGTTCTGGAACCGAGCCGGGGCCCAGGGCCCGGGGCCCAGGGCCCGGCCGGTCCCTCAGTGAGAGACGTCGGCTCCGTTGTTCCGGTTGCCGTATTTGTGGTGGATGATGAGGAGGACGATGCCCAGCAGGAAGCAGATGGAGCCCACGGTGATGTAGGCGATGCCCAGGAAGGGGTTCTTGCCTCCCATCCAGGAGATGGTGCTCAGGATCATCCGCTTCCTGCCCTCGAAGCTCCGCACCGGATAATCTGGGACGGACCCGTTAAAGATTAAACCTGCTCCACCTGAGCTTTTATTGTCTAGCAGCTGTTTTTGCTTCCATATGTGCTGAGAGGATACTGTAGACCACCTCCAGGGTGTAGTTCCCTCGGGGCAGGGTGGGCAGCAGGTTGTTCCTCCTCTGGATGATCCGGTACAGCTTGCGGAACGTCGGAAGGGCGGCCGTCCTCATCCACACGATGAAGTCCTCGTTGATGAAGCCGTTGTTGTTGGGGTCGGAGTCCAGCTCGTAGACGGGGCGGCGCCAGTTCACCGGCTTCGTCGTTCCTGAAGGGAAGAGGGAAGTTTTCATCCGAGTTTTAGGAGCGTCTCCTGGTTTCAGACTAAAGCTGAGAGAGTTTCTCCAAACTCCTCAGGATCAATCAATCATTTTACTAATAGATTAATTAATCAATTATCGTTTTTATCCACCAAAGGAGACATTCTTTCACTAAACGTTTCAAAAGCAAAATGTCTCCAATTAAGAGAAACTATTCATTTATTAAATGAGTTATAAATGGCATTTTTATTCACAGATTAGGAAGATTTTTTAATTTCTGCAGATTTTTGTGCAGAAGGTTATTCTTTCAGCAAACGGCTCGTTTTAGAGGCCATGTAGCATTAAGCTAAGTAACGACACAATGATCAAATGAATCGATTACTAAGATTTAGAGTTGCGCTGATACTGATACCAGTAGGGGGCGATGAAGTACTATGCAGATCTTCATATTTACACAGCCAGATAAATTTCAAACAGATGGTATCGGTCGATACGGCACAGCCAGGATTAATCCGATTGATTGTCCCGTTCCTGGAAATGAGCAAACCTTGAAAAGCGGCTGCCAGGTCGGAGCCTTCTCCTCCAGGGTTCCTGAACTTCACGTGTTTGTCCGTCCACCAGGCGATTTCTGTGGCTGTCAGAGGAACCTGGACCTTGGTGCCGTTTGGGTCGTTATAAAAAAGCTCCAGCGTGTCTGAAAACACCGCCGGATTAGTTCAGCAACCGCCAGGATACGGAGTCAATTTTACTTCAGAATTGTTGCAAACAAAGAAGACGTTATGGAAATGGAAACTTGAAGAAAAAGAAAACAGGATTTTTTAATAAAAAAAAGAAAACAGATTTGCTAAACCGAAATTTGAAAAACAAACATTTAAAACGACAAATTAAAGGTATTGTAGAGGATTTTCTGGGAATATTTTTTTAAAAGATCTGCCCTCTCCACTGTAAAAAAAAAATCAAAAATAAAACTAATGTACATGCAAAACCCTCTACCCGCTCCGGAGAGGAAATGCCACTATCATTTTTGATACTTTTTATATCTTCAAATTAGTTATTTTTCCAATTTGTGTTTTACAGACCGAGAGCAACTTGGAATTGTGCTTGAAACGTAAATATGATCTGTACGACGCAAATAAAAAAAGAGGAATTAGTAGGAATGCACGATATAATCG